TGCCATGCACATTTATATGCGTTTTTGGACAAATCTGAAGTACTTTTTTAATCCCCCTCTTTACTGAAGAGATACTCTTGCTTAAAGCTGAACTCTACAAACACTTTCATTGAAATACATTCCACACTGGATTACTGCACAGATCTGGAAGAAATACACACAGCACACCAAGACACATATACAGTATAAATACATGTGACTCTGGTTTTTGCGTATCCCAGAGGTCAGTTTTAAGGATTTACAGATGCTGGTTTCACCCAATGCACCAGGAATCCAACAGATCCAATATGCAAGATGCTGAACATCTTTCGGCAACATTGTCTCTTCTAAGCAGAGGAGTTTGTTAGTAGAGGCAGCAGTAGCATATGTGATATTTTGGCATTTTCAACATTCAGATGTACACCAAAGCAGCATTTATGTATAACACTTGAGCAACTCACTTGCTAATGAGCGGGATAGCGAAGGAGGTCTCTGGGAGGCGCTGTGAGATTAGCAGCAAGAAGACAGACTGAGCCAACAGGACGGATATGGCCAAGGTCATCTTTTCACCACCTGCCAGAAATATAAAGTTATGCACAGACTACTATAGTGCTGTCTCATTAAGCATGAGATATTAAACTGAAATAAAGATTGCACAATTATTATGATGCAAGAAATACAATGATGAAAGCCAGACACCCCAAGCAAGAAACTGTATAAAAATAATGCCAGCAGCAGCAAAGTGTTCATAAAGAATTACTACAATATTCATCGAATAAGGGCACATCTAGGTACATATCCCTTATTTATGATGTGTCAAAAATGGCTTAATCTATGTAAGGACTAACGGAGGCATAATTTAAATGTTATTATTAAAGTAGACCTAGCCTCAGATTCTCTTTTGATGTTCAGTGCATGCATTTTCAGTACTGGCTTCTTCTAGGTTAGAGAAGATTATGGGGCTAAGGAGGGTGGGCTGGGTTTTTGTCCTCTCTCTCTCTCTATATATATATATATATAGTTAGTTATTTAAAAACAAACAGAAAAACAGAGTATTGCAGTATGTAATGATACCTTTCTTATTGGATTAACATAATATTCAAAAGACAAGCTTGCGACAGTTAACTTCTCTTCTTCAGGTCAGAAGCAATACAAGCAGTCCTCGGGTTACATACAAGATAGGGACTTTAGGTTTGTACTCATGTTGAATTTGTATGCAAGTCGAAACAGGTACTTATTTTAAGTGTAACTCCAGCCAAATATTTTTTTTTTAGTTTTGGATAGCATAGGGAAGGGTCACATTTGTTTTGCCGTCTGTTCCTGTTGTTCAGAAGATTATAATATAATAATTAAAAAAATTATTCAAAATGACACACTAAAAAAAGTTTTTCTATTTTTAATTTTATATACTTTATTTATTTTTTTGCATTTTTAATTTTCATTTATTTAACTTTTTTTTTAAACATTTTTTTGTCTTTTTAATTAAATATTTTATTTTAATGCTGGGAGCCATAGCCAGCCTGCTATTGGATATTTCAAATTGCAATAGCCAATAGCAGGCTGGCTATTGCATCTGCCCACTGCCTGCTGTCAATCAGCAGAGGAGGAGCCTGAAGGAGAAAGTTCTCTATCAGGTTCTCCCATGCTGATTGACAGCAGGCAGTGGGCGGGTGCAATAGCCAGCTTGCCATTGGGTATTGCATTTTACAATATCCAATAGCAGGCTGGGCATGGCTCCCAGCCTGCAGACGAAGAGGAGGCAGGGGGGCGGGGCAAAGGAGCCGCGGCCGGACTGTCAGAGCGGATGATCGGACAAACCGGGGAAGAAGATGGACCGCGGGAAGAGGACGCGGGGACATCAGCGGAGGTACGGGGGGCAGCTAGGAATGCAGCGATCTGTGTCCCCGCTGCCTCTGCCAACACAGGCCCGGAGAGCAGCGGGGATTTGAAGGGACACAGGCCGCTGCAGCCACAGTTCTCCTAAATGTACCGGCAGCTGCTGGTACACTTAGGAAAACTATGGACCCCGGTTCGTAAGTACGGATTGTCCATAACCCGGGGACTGCCTGTACCTGAAGAAGAGAGGTTCACTATCGAAAGCCTGTCTTTTGAATATTATGTTAGTGCAATAAGAAAGATATAATTACATACTGCAATACTCTGTTTTTGTTTCCTTTACACACAATTTATCAAAACTGGAGCAGACAAAATCAGGAGCAGCTGTGCACTGCAACCAATCAGCCTCCCTCTTTATTATATATATATATATATATGACCCACACATATACTGTTTATATGAGACATACACCATTATTGCAGGTGAGTCTTCTTGTTTTTCTAATTATGAGGTACTCACTGTCAGCTGGCAGGTAGAAGACAAGGTTGGCCATCAGAGCAATTAGAACACAGGGAGCCAGGATATTTATTATGTAGAAGAGGGGTTTCCTCTTAATAATGAGGTAGAATGTAATGTGCTGATACTTAGTGCTCTCGGGGGACACGCTTCTGTCGATATTCTTTTTGGCTGGAATGTGGACAATCTCCCATTCTCCATTTTCTAGGAAACAAAGCAAAATGAATTAGACAAACACCTAAGGATCTATTAATCATTGATTTGTTGGGCTAGTTACCTAGTCATACAGTATGAAGGACACTGCAACTCTCTATTCTCTATGGTGAGTATATACAGTATGGAGGAGTATGTGACTCTCCATTCTCTATGGTGAGTATATACAGTACGGAGGAGTATGTGACTCTCCATTCTCTCTAAGGTGAGTATATACAGTATGGAGGAGTATATGACTCTCCATTCTCTCTATGGTGAGCATATACAGTATGGGAGAGTATGTGACTCTCCATTCTCTATGCTAATTATATACAGTATGGAGGAGTATGCAACTCTCCATTCTCTGTGGTGAAAATATAGAGTATGGAGGAGTATGTGACTCCCTATTCTCTATGGTGAGTACAAAAGTATAAAGGAGTATAAAACTCTCCATTCTCTATGGTGAGTACATACAGTATGAAGCACTGCACAACTCTCCATTCTCTATGGTAAGTATATACAGTATGGAGGAGTATGCAACTCTCCATTCTCCATAGCAGGGATGTCCAAACTGCGGCCCTCGAGCTGTGGCCCAGCTACGAATCCCATGAGGCTTTGCAAGATTCTCACAGCCACAGACATGACTCCCGGAGAGAGATGCTTCATGGGATTTGTAGTTTCACCACAGCTGGAGGGCCGGAGTTTGGACATCCCTGCTCTATAGTGAGTATATACAGTAAGGAGGAGTATGTAACAATCCATTCTCTATGATGAGTATTAGGGATGCGCCGCTACTGGTTTTTCGGTATCGAGTACGAGTACAGATATTTTGCTTTTGGTGCTCGCCGATACCTAGTATCGATACCGGTGCTTCCGCTGGCATGGAGCCGGCTTCATGGGCAATCAGGAAGCCGGGCAGCGGGCAATTCCATGCCACCCGACTTCCTGATTGCCCAGGAAGCTGGCTCCATGTTGTTTGACCAGCTCGATTGTGATTGGCCGGGAAGCCGGCTTCCCAGCCAATCAGCAAGGAGACGGCTTACCGGCCAATCAGGAAGCCGGAAGGCGGGTCACTACTCGCCACCCGGCTTCCTGATTGCTCGGGATGCCAGCTCCATGTTCCCCTACGGCACTGCCAGTCAGAGGAAATTTTTCTCTGACCAGAAGTTCCGGTATCAGGGAAGGTATCGGAGCATTTGGGCGAGAACGAGTACTCGCCAAAATACTCGGTATCAGTGCATCCCCAGTGAGTATATACAGTAAGGAGGAGTATATAACTCTCCATTCTATATGGTGAATATATACAGTACAGTATGGAGGAGTATATGACTCTCCATTTTCTCTATGGTGAGTATATACAGTAGGGAGGAGTTGTAACCCTCCATTCTCTATGGTGAGTATATACAGTACAGGGGTGTATGTAACTCTCCATTCTCTATGGTGAGTAAATACAGTAGGGATGAGTATGTTACTATGGTGAGCATATACAGTAGGGAGGAATATGTAACTCTCTATTCTCTGTGGTGAGTATATGCAGTATAGGGGAGTATGCAATTCTCCATTCTCTGTGGGGATTATGTACAGTATGGAGGAGTATGTGACTCCCCATTCTCTATGGAGAGTATATACAGGAGTATAAAACTCTCCATTGGTGACTCTCCATGGTAAGACTCTGACTCTTACTCAGGGATTCTTTCCTTGCTCCCAGAGGATGAACATAGTGGTGGAGGAGGAAGAAAAGTGAATATGTGATGCTGAAGTGAACCTGTTGCTCTGCCCTGCTTTAAGCTTAAATCCTAAATGCATTGGATGGAAAAAAACACAAGTGTTTGGGTACTTTTAAGGTGGCCATATGCTGACTAATCTGAAATGTTCAATGTCATGAACTAATATGCGTGATAGGTACCCATACTTGCAGTAATCGCACATGCACCTTAATACTACAACAGCCAGCCAAATCAGATACCATGGAAAAGGTTTTGCTATATCTCTAAGTGCAAAAAATGTATGTCAATCCTGCCAGAAATCCATTGAGCTTGCAACTTCCTGTGCTGCACTGAAAACTCAAGCAGTGCTATCATCCCTGCCCAGTTTTCTTCCATGGACTAAAGGACACCACCCCCTATGTTATAGGGATGAGGAGAGGGGGGGGGGGGTGTTCAACAATTCTGTAGCAAACAGCCTAGGATGACAATGCTACTCCTCCATAGGTATAGAACAAGGAATGTTGTCACCCTAGGTTAGGAGGACAGTTACTGGCAGGTTAAAAAAAAGGAAGAAAGCCTGAAATAAGAAAACAACAGTCATCACACCTAAAGACTGGTAAGCTGTAATGTATAACAAATTTGTTGTTCTTGGGTTTATATACATTTTAATTAAGACGTTTTATCAGATTAACAAGCTTGCAATTCTTGTCATTACCAGAGTAAAGAAATGAGCCTCCTCACCTGTAAATGCTGCTCGATCTATGACAATCCACTCCACTGGGTAGCTCCTACTTGTTTCGTCATCAGTTTCTAACTTTAGCTGCAGGTTTATCTCTTTAGCGTTGTAAGTTAATGAGCTGCAGCATAGAAAATATGTTAAACATCTGGTGTTAACTTGATGTGCCAAACAAGAGTCCGAAAATCCAGTCCAGTCCGAAAATTAACTGCTATGCAGTAATAGAACTCACTTCTTAAAGGGGAAGTATTAGGAAAGTGAAATATATTCTTCCTAATACTTATAACCAAGGACACAGCAGCTGTCATACACTGGATCTACTGTATATACCGAAAGCTGAGCAATCATGTTACTGCTGATCACTGTCAGTCACCGCTACCCACAGGGCTTCCCCCTCCCCTCTCTGTTCCTCCAGCACTCATTGAAGGGACAGACAGGGGAGGGGTTGGGCACAGTTGGCTCTGGCTCTAGAGAGGCCTATCCAGCTGTCAATCAGGCAGCTGGAAGGATCCCGACCAGGGGCAGCCTGACAACACATGGGGCCCCCTTGTGCTCCACCCATATACAAGCCCCACCTGGATAAACATTCATGTGTTACAGAAATTGTTTCTCCACACTATTATGAAAATAGTGGGCCAAATCCCTAAAAGATGAATTGCCGGGGAATTAGTAGGAGAATTTCAAAATCTCTAGACTAATATAGATGATTTGGAAAGTGAGCTAAATGGCAGAATGCACGGCAGACCTCAGACCGGCACCAATGCATGGCAGATCTCAGACCAGAACCAATGCATGGCAGACACAGACCAGAACTAATGCACTGCTGAACTTGGACCAGTACCAATACACGACAGACCGCAGACCAGAACCAATGAACGGCAGATTGGGCAAAAAGAATGACACATACACAACAACATCTCCGGGATCGGCCATCACACACAGTCTGATCCCTGTGGGACTTCACCCGCACACACGCCCTAATCGGCAGTTCCTTCCATGCCAGCACACCAGTGCCAGTGCTCAACTTCAGCAGGTCCAGTAGGTAAGAGCAGCAAGCCGCCTCACAGGAAGTCAGGCCCCTGATGTGGAGGGTCTCAGGCAGATGTGGAGGGTCTCACCATTGACAGATGCGGATGGTCTCAGTAGGGGCAGATGTGGAGGGTCTCAGCTGGGGCAGATGCGGAGGGTCAAAGGAGGGGCAGTTGCGGAGGGTCTCAGCAGGGGCAGATGCGGAGGGTCTCACCAGGGGCAGATGCGGAGGGTCTAAGCAGGGGCAGATGTGAGCACTATTCCTCCAGTGGGGGGCCCAGGACTGGATCTCAGTGGGGCCCCCAAGCCTTGCAGTAGGTCCGCCCTCCGACTGTACACTCCCCAGGCAAGATACGCCACCCGACTGTACACTCCCCCAACTACCTCTGGGCTCTTCTCGGCTGCTCCGCTGCCGAACTAGCAGATACGGCTGTTTTAAAGTGGCAACAGCAGTGTCTGGTGGGCCCAGGTGTCGGGGGACACTGCTGTCTCCTTCCATGCAGGCTGGAAAGGGCAGAGGGGGGAGTCAGTGATGGGCCCCCTCCTGGCCGCAGGCCCTTAGACAGTGCCTGAATGGTCATTCCACCCCTGATCCCGACAATATTGTCAGGATCTTTCCCGGCTACAGTACAGCTCTGCTTTGTCAGCATATAGCAAAAAGAAGGTTTGGCTTTAGTTCTCTTTTAAATTAAACACTGTAAAATGCCTAAAACTTTGGCTTTCCTCACGCTTTTTAATGCCAAGTCCATTAAAAGGTATATCTAATTAATAGTAACAGATAAATAAATAAGTCCAGCACCACTTAAGACACTCAGGGCCCAGTCACACCATAAAGAGTGCGTTCGGCCTCTGGAATGCACTGGAACGCAACCCGGCCGGCTCACTTTGTTTTGGGGAGGGAGGGGGCATGGCGGTTCATTGAAGTCAATGGCACCGCAGCCACGCCCGTCGCCCGCAGTGCGATCGCCAGCACCCGAACGTATGGCACATTAGTGCCTGTGTTCCGGTCCAGTGCGATCTGCAAAAAATGTTGCATGCAGCATTTTTTGCAGATCGCACTGGACCGGAACGCAGGCACTAATGTGCCATACGTTCGGGTGCTGGCGATCGCACTGCGTATATATATGCCGATGGGGACAAGGGGCTTTTCCCCGCAAGCCCTGGGGCGTTGTTTGTGGGGGTGCGGGCAAGGGGCTTATTCACATCAGGGTACCCCTTTCTAAAGGGGAACCCAGATGTGGCCCCCTCCTTGTGAATGAGTAAGGGGTACTTGTACCTCTACCCATTCACTAAAGGGTTAAAAGAAGTTGTAAATTAAAAGACCAGACTTTTGAAAAACTCACAAGTTTTTCACAAGTCTTTTATTAAAAAAACAAAACAAAATGGATCCACCGATGTAATCCAGGGTCAATCACGACGTCCAGCATTGTCCACGATGACGACGACTCGACAAAATAAAAAATAAAACAATAAAAAATAAATAGAAATAATATTTTTTTTTTAAACGCCACCCGCCGTCTTATCTGCACGCAACGAGCTCCTGCCACAAAATGGCATTTTGACAGATGCCAGCAACATATAAACAATTGGCCTAGTGGTGACAGCTAGCTCTGTCCAACAGTTGTACGGCATCAGACAGGTGAGCCATGATTGAGCAAAGTCTTGCACCTGACCTGTGGTCAGTTGCATAGCTTTAGCCAATCAGGGCTCACAAGGAACTGTACGGCGCACAGTGCCTTGCGGATGCTCGGTGGGCGAACACACGAACTGCCGATGTTCGAGTCAAACTCATGCTCGACTCGAACATCGAGCCCATCACTACTCATAATGGACACAGCAAATGAGCAGGACCAGAAACTCAAGTGCAGCTAACACTAACAGAGTCCCGAGAGATATGTGTTAGAATGCTGTTTATACAGATATAGGTACAACAATTATTCTGATATATTATTCTAATATACAATACTATTATGATTTCTAGTTCTGCCACTAGGTGCTGAAATTCTTGTTATATTGTATTGTTCTCTTTAGTGCAATTACAAGGTTATGATGTAACTTCTTGTCTTTGTGTGCTCCTTGTGTTTCTAATAAAACAAGCTGGGCTCACCACTGTGTCCAACATAATCTTGCCTGGTAAAAGTCATACATGCAGCTGCTTTCAGACAACAGGAAACTGTTAGCTGGTTTAGCTCTGCAGCATTTCCAAAAAACTGACACACCAAGCTGAATTGTATAATTGAAATGTATAAAAAGCTTATGAAACCTCAGCATATGTTGTTTAAACTCTGATAAATATAAGCCCTACCAATAACTGGCCATAACAGAACGTAGAAAACTACCTGAATTTCAGAGAGCAGTTCTGCCAGTCAAATGGGAAGTAGTTGACATTGATGGAGCATGGTGTTTGGAATATGGCAGGAGGTAGCCAGTAAATGTAGCCATTGCTGGATATAAGGACATTGCTGTAATATGCCACTTCAAAGTTGCCGTCATTGCTGAAATGAAAGGAAATCAGACATTTGACAAACATAAACATTTCAGTAACTAAACTGATGTATATAGAGGCTGAACATGTCAGACATGTGTACTGCATATTAGTGGAATCACATTTGTCAAAATGTGTTCAATTGTCAATTGAATGTGCTGGTGAAATACACAATGTAAAATGTAGCATTTTATAAGAGTACTACTCAATCAGTGAAAAAATAGTGTCCTGATGATTTTGAAGGAACAGGGACATCAACTATTCCTGGGTTGCAGGTTATGTTACTGACAGCATGCAATGTGATTTATTTCCATTTCATGAAATAGTTCTTGTAACTTACTAGGTTTAATGCCGTTTTCCTAACCATTAAAATGATATAATGTTCTATATATAAAAGCACAGTTAGGGGGTCACTAATGACCACGAGGTAGGGAACGTGCATTTTTGTGCTAGAGATGGATAAACATATTGATGCAAAGGTTTGATATGTGCAAATGTTTGTGCATTTACACCTCATGCTGCCTTTCATGCTTTCATGCACTTCACCTTCCTCTGCCTACCCTTTCCAGCAGACATTTAGATGGGATTTTGTCAGCAGACATCAGCCCCAACTAAAACCATTGCAGGAGCACCTTTGCTTGGCATTTCCTGAGTGCACAGATGCTAGACACATACCCACACACTTTACACACAGGAAAACAACAGGGGTCTGGCACGTCAAGTTTGATCTGTCAGTTACTGAATGAGGGTCAGAGTTAGCGACCAAAACTGGAAGTCATAGCGACAGAGTTAGGGCCTGTGTCGACAGGCTTTGGGCTTGTTTCAATGGCAAACGCAGCCTGCATTTCAGATCAGTTTCAGACATTTCTGAAATCATTCACAGTTCTTTGATTAGTGAATTTGACCTGCAGTTGATTTCCTGCTGACCTCAATTTGACCTCCTTCTAAGCTGCATCAAGCATCACACTGCTTTTGCATTCCCATGGATGTGAATAGGGAGAATTCAGACATGAACAAAAGACCAGTAAAAATCAAGGGCTAACTTGTTGTTAGGTGCATGGTACAGTACCAATGACATAATTGTTATTGTTAGTGCCATACTGAATATTTGAGAAAGAACACTGGCAGCCCAAAGAGTGATATGTGCTATCTTGCAAGTTGCAGTATTATGTTTTTCATTGTTGCTTTGCAAAAAAGGGATATTCCCAAACAGGGGCATAACTAGAAATCACAGGGCCCCATAGCAAAATTTTGTATAGCCCCCCCCCCCAACCTGCACCCCCCTCTGGTGCTTGAACTACAGCATATATTATCATTATTATGATATAATACGATTAAATGCCGTTTGCAATAGATCAGTGTCCCTGAGCTTAGGATACGTGCGTCCAGAGACAGTGATCTATTCAAAACTGCATTTAATCATTTCGCGTACATTACGTGTGGACTGCCGCTTACAGATATGTGGGACACCCGATATTCCTGTCTGCGCGGTTAGCTGATGGAACGCACTGTATCGCATAGTAAACTCCTCCCTGTGTTCCGGTGCATGCAGCATTTTTTCCAATTGCACTGGATCGCACCACAGGCACTGATGTGCCACGCGTTCTGGTGCGGGCACTTGCACTGCGGCAGGGGGGCGTGGCTGCGGTGCCATTGACTTCAATGCACCACAATGCCCCTTCCCGCCCCAGAACGCACGGGAAAGTTTACTATGCGATACTGTGCGTTCCAGCAGCTAACCACTCTGGAACGCACTGTATATGGTGTGTACAAGCCCTAACCCTGCTTTCTCTACTCTACGAGTTTAGGACCTGACTCCCCCCCGTCCCACCCCCCTCATTCAGTTCCCTTGGAGTGGGAAGGGCGATTTGCACATTAATGAAGCATGGCGGGATTTACATATGAATACTGCGGCTCATTAATATGCATATCCCGCAATTAGCATATGAGTGAGTCGCGGCCAGTGTTAATGGCTCCTGCAGCTCAGTAGATATGAGGACAATACTGAGAGACTGTAGTCCCTGTCACCTGCCACCCTCCCTGCTTACCTGTCGGCAGTCCTGGCCAGCAGTGGAGAGGAGATCAGACACCACTGCTTCTTCTCCAGCCGAACACAGGCAGGAGATGACTCCGCCCTCCCCCCGCTCTACACTGTGGCAGGGGAGAGGAGTGCAGGTGTCCTTAGGTTCCGTGCGACTCTGCACAGATTTTAACTTGCGGCCGCATGGAAGTTAAGGATCCCTAAGCCTCTCTCCTGCTCCCGACCGGGCCTCTCTCTGGCCTCGGGCCCCATAGCGGCCGCGTAGGCTGCTATGGTGGTAGTTACACCACTGTTCCCAAATAACAATGGAGCCCTGGGATCTCGTATGTATCTTTGTTATTAATCAGTCATTTATAGATGTCACAGATCTGCAGCAATGCTGACCTGCTACTTCTGGTTTAACTACCATGTGGTCTCTCATACCTTGTTGCTGCACATGCCTGGGAAGTATAGGTGTTGCTGGACCCCACCTGCTGAATGATGTAGCAGCTACAATGCCAGTCCCCACCTAGCCTGTCAATCAGCCTCACTATTTAGCTGTGCTCAGGCCAACATGCGTTGCCAGAGCAATAGGTTAATTTTCTAGCCCAAGGCTCCAGTCCTTGTTAGCTCCTTTGCTTCTGGGTTCCTGTTCCTCTGGTCAACTTAGACTTGTATTTTGACTTTTCTTTGCTGCCTGCCCTTCCCTTTGGACTGTCGCTTTTACCAGAATTGTTTTTTGACTGTGTACCTACTCAGCTGCCATTTGCACAGGTGTGCCTGAGGGCCACAAACTGTTGCACCAACCAGAAAAGCCCATCATTCCTTGCGGGGCACTCTGGTAAAGAATTGGTAGCGTTTACTTAAACTCTGCACCTCAGCCCTTCTTATGGTTCACACCCTTTCCAAACGTACTGACAGCACAAAGGGTCCACTGTGCAGTTTCTCTGTGACACTAGAGCAACAGAAACAGCAATATGCAAAGTACTCTAAATCATGGCAAGCAGTCAGTTTTGAATTACATTTAGATCTATGAAATAAAAATTGTGATAAGTATAAGTATGTTTACTTGGAACACTCATTTCTGCATAAAGGAAGAGTTTCACTGTAAAAATAGAATCATTGATTTCACTGGTTTCACATACTGATCTACAGAGCCTTAGAGTAACCATTAATAACCTTAGTCCAACTCCCAGTCCCATGGCCGGATGTAACACTGGGGTAAGGATTGGGCAATGTAGTGTTATCCTAGGGGGTAAAAATGAGCAATTTGTGTTTTTTTATGGCACACATGGAGTTTATCCAACTTATTTGTAAAATCTCTGTGTAACAGGTCCAATCCTTTACCCTTTTCCCTAGGAATAGGGAAACAAGTAACTGACCACACACCCTCCATTTCTGTTCCATGACTGATCAACACGACACATACTTTTTAGGGAGATATCTGACCAGATTTTGCCAACCCTTAATGCCACACAAGTGTTGCTTTGTTTTCAAGAAGCTGAAAACAATGGACATGACGACATCTTCCTGTACTCTGACAATTTACAGCCAAGTGTCACATAATTTGGATGGCATAACCAGCACCTGGCAGGTCAGCTATGTCCTCTACATGTTGGAAAATCTTGATAATGGTAGGAAGTTCTCATTATTACCCCTATGATAGCACAAAGTGGATGATGCTTGTCTAATTGGAACTTCAGGTCGTTGGATCTAGGGCAGGAACTAAACTATTATGGGCATCCTTTTTGGTATACCATTGAAAGTGTTTTGGTATATCTGTTAAATAAGTCTAAAGTGTATAAGTGATCCTGCCATGAATCCAGAGTTGCCCTGTGCCATGCGCACTTGGCTGTGTTATCTCAAAGACTATTGTCCGCTTAGCCTAAACTAAAGAACACTTCCCCTTTATTTTTAAGATGCAGATAGGTATTTTGTAGCTGGGCAGTACTGATACAATTCCTTGCAAATTCAGTGCAGCAGAGGCACTGTGTTGTCAGCCCACTACAGGAAATTAGTTGTAGAGTTAGTAACCTCTCTTACTTGTTTTCCAGGATAAGATTTGGCTGCCACACCATGTCAGGGGGAACTCTAAGTGTATGGATGTCATAGAATTCTGTCATATTCCATGTCAGTCTTTTGTCATACCATCCCTGTGGAAAGAACTCAGTCATTATCTAACATATAACATGTTGAAAGGCAAGAATACATCAGAAACTATACAGCTGTTATACACAGTGCAGTCTGAGTGACTGTGTTTTTGGACATAGCTTCAGCCATGCAATATGTGTATTTATACATTTGTTTCATGTGGCTTTATATATAAACATGGGTAAATATGTACAGTGGTACTCATATCTAGTGTCCAAGTACATTTACACAGGTTTAGGTCCATCTCCCTGTGAGCAGAGCTCAAGGGGCTATTCATTCATTGTTGAATATGAATTGTTGACCACAGGAAGCCTTTTAAAAGGTTTACAAATTCATCTATGATAACTAATTATTTCTGGACAATAGGACAACTACAAGGATGAGAACAGGCTTAGTACTGAATATAGTGTGTAACATACCTGCTCAACCCAGACATTTGTAGTGAGTGTTTCATCTGCTTCTTTCTGCAATATAATAATGATATCATGTTACATATGTAAGTATATTAAGTAAGCTATGTACAATGCTGAGACATCACCACAAAAAAAAAGGAATCTATATGTCAGTCTATCGTCTATCTATCTCTACTGAATATAATATTGCCCCCTTTGGTGAGATGGACATTTGCCCATGCTTCATGCCAGTGTCTCGACCCCCAGTGTCTGGCCAGGTTATCTTCATATATGACAGACATACCAGTGAGATGAGATTGGAAAGTGTCAATGACAGATGTATATCTAGTGTATCATCTGGATGGTCCACTGGTCGCAGATCCTTTCTGTAACCCTTTTCTTCAAATAAATATCTTAATAGATGTTCTTCTTCACTTAGAACGGATGAACCTTAGAAGAGCAAAGGCAAACGATTAAAAAACAGAAAAGAGGATTGTAAGGTTAATCGACAGTAACAAGTTGCTCTATTTTCATTTTATCTTGTTGTCAAATACATCAAAAGGAATGGTGGACTGGATTATAAGATAGGATATATGATAGGATTCTATTTCCGCCTGTGTCCCAGTTGAAGAGACTATCTCTTATTTCCTGTTCCCGGTGGCACTGGTACAGGAAATGAAGAGAAATGTTCTATTCTCCCTTTATCCAAATCAAACAAAATGGTTGTGGTATAACAAAAAAATATCATGTAATATTTAGCATGAAGAGAAAACCTACAGGCTGGCTTAGAACAAATATATATTTTTCTCATTCTTACAATCGTTCTAACCTGGAATATAAATTCAGTAGGATAAAATGTATAAACAGACGACTACAGATATGAAGCCAAACTTAAACTGACCATACACCAGTAGAACTTTGTTTACAACATTTCATTATTTTCATTTTCTAATGGTTAGTCATTTTCTAATGATTTAGACACATTTCTCGATTACTATCAGAATGAACAAAATTCTAACCGTGGATGTGATATTCACTTGGGAAAAATCGTACATAATGTGATGCACATGTGCTAGGCACAAAAGAAACCTGTTTAATACGTCAGGGATTCCATTCAAGTAGCAAGTTTGGACCAAATTTTTAAAGGAGAACTATGAGGTGAGTGCTTTTCACTCACCTCATAGTTCTAGCCGACCTGTGACAATGAGACTGTCACAGGTCGGCTCAGTAGATCGGGAAGTGAGCGAACACATACCGGGTTCGCTCGCCTCTCGATCCTGTCACGGCTCTCTGCCGTGACAGGGGGAGGGGCTGGATTCCCCTCTCCCCGCTCCGAGCTGCCAGCGCTGGCTGGCGGAACGGACGGGGGAGGGGCGGGTACAGCTGGCTCTGCCTCTAGATAGGCAGAGCCAGCTGTCACTCACGCAGCTGGGCGGATCCCGTCATCTAAGTCGGGATCCGCTCCGGCTGCGGCGTCTCAGTATAGCTGTAGCTCGCGGTATACTGAGCTTAGGGTAACGGGAGGACGCTAGTTTGTGTCCTCCCGTTACCCTAAGGAGAACTATGGGGAAAAACACTGACCCCATAGTTCTCCTTTAAGTACTTTTGAAGAAAAGTAGTTGACTCAATGCCAAACACACCAAGAAGAGGAACAAAATGGTCACTTTCATAGGACTAAAGATGGCTGTGGACAATCTTTCATCAGCTTTAGTGACAAAAAGAAGTTCTGCCTAGCCATGAGGTACCTTCACCGTCCTTAACACTTTTCCAACCTTGGCACCTTTCTTTTACAATGCATGTGCTCTAATAACAAATGTAGCCTTCTCTAGAGACAAAAGTAAAACACTTTAAAGGATAACTGTAGTGAGAGTGATACAGGAGCTAACAATTGTGATCTTCTTCAAAGATTTACTCTTTGTCTGGCTGTTTCTGACTTCAATATATTCTCAGTCATTGACCTAGAGCAAGCTTGCATATTGGAAAGTCACAGTGAAGTTAGGACTCCTGATTTGCATATTTTCTATGTCAGTGACTCGGAAAGCTGTCAGCCAGGAAACTAGCCTTTTCCGAAAAAGAGATTGACAATGCAGCTTCCATTGTTTCTCACAGCAAGTTTCCTTAGGGTACATACTAGAAACGTTTCATGGCTCGCTATCTGTACACGTCTTTCACACATATTAGTTGTTTGGTAATCCCTATATATAAAGGGTCACTTTGTTCACACAGAAACATTCAGTATACAAATCACTGAGCAAACCATAAGAATTAACTATTAAAAGCAGTAAGAGGACAGACGTTAGCTGGCCAGGAGAGAAAATGAAATAAATGTTGACCTGAAAAATGTAGGTCACCACAAGGAGTAGTGCAAATATTTAGGCAGCATGACAGTGTTAAACCTACTTATGTTACTAAATAGCCACACTACCTGCTGATATCAGATGGTAGCTAGTTTTGCATGATCCGTTCACCAAATGATCAAAGAAATATTACACTACATGTATGAACAGAATGTTCATAACTGTCCTATGGTGGAGTGGGCACTGGGAAAATGTATATTGATTCTCTGGGGAAAAAATTAATCTTTTCTCATGAAAGCCACTTTTGCTAGTGCTAAAGACGGTGTACAGACATTAAATTAATAGCCAATCTCAACATAACTGGGTGAAGTTTTTCTTATGTCTGTATGCACCTTTAGCTTTACTTTTAAATACTTTCAGTATAATAAAGAGACGATAAGATAAATAAAATAAATAATACTCATACAAGAAGAAGAGGGTTGGAGAGATATGCCAGGTATATTAATGTGCAGAACACAGTGGAAATCTTTCATGTACACTGGCTGATATGACAAGACTGAAAATGTACAGTGAGTTTAGAAGAGAAAAAATAGCCATATCTTACCTGCAGAGAAGTAGACTAAGCCCAAAGTGACAACAAGCCAAATCCATGCCATAGTCCACCATTCCTTTGCTGTACCCCACTCAGTATACAGAAAGCATAGCTTGTCCCTTGTCGCTGCCCTTCCTCCACACCAGCAAACTCACATTAAGGACTATGGAAGAGAAATGTGAGCCAGCAATGCAGACAGGCAGAGACAGGTGCAATACACTAGGAAATAAATAACATACCAGGAATGCATTGAACGAATCAAACAACCAGAGAGGCCTGTTGGGTACAAGGACAAATTACTCAATGCATGGTGAACATAGGATTTTTTATTGACTCATCACATTTAAGGTCCTATTTATAAAGTTGAATCCAGTCTTATTTTAATTATTTTTGTAGCAATTCATAAAGTTGTGCATGCAAGTCCAGGAAAAACAATTACCACAGGATGGGTTTAGAGATTGTGAAAATTTATTCTTGGCAAATATGAGTCAAAAATGTGGCAAACAATGAAATAATGTCTGTCTTTTCAGTGGAAACCTAAAAGTGCAAGTATGTGATTTATACTAAGGATTGCATTTAGAAAAATAAGCAAATTATTAAATTAATATTTAAAAATAAATAACAAAAATATATTACAATGTATCTTTTCTTAATATAGTAACAATACATATTAAAATAATCAGCTATAAATTAGCACTTTATTTATTTGAAATGTAATAATTGCTTAAAAATTTAATAAATAAAGCTTAAAGTGACACTAAGCTCAGGAGTGAAATCTTAAAAATGCATTCAAATGTCTTAACTATTAACAAAAATGTATGTTATTTGTGTATCACTTAGCTGTAGATCTTCAAATCATCTCTTAATTGGTGCTGACACTGTTCTTCCTTCTGGAGGATGACTACTTTTGTTCTCCTTGGTCCCTGTGTGTGTTTTAAAGTAGCCACCGCTCCAAGCTTGCTCCTGTGATGGACTACAATCTCATTAGATTGTAGTCCAGTAGTAAACTAAAAGTGAGATTGTAGTCCATCACAGGAGTGAGCTTGGAGCAATGGCTACTTTGCAACACACACAGGGACCATGGGGAACAAAATATATGCAAAAAAAATGAGGGTTTAGAAACCCTTTAATCTTTTTTTTTAAATAATAAAATTAAGAAAAAGAGTAACAGTAAATCTTAACATTAACTAGATACATTTTTTTTTTCAATCATAAGCATTAGCCAAAGTTTGACGGCACAACCACTTGTGGTTTCCACCTGTGACAGGACAACAATACAGGTGCACAATTGGAAGACAGTTGTCCATTACAGTAAGTGCCTGAAAAATGACCTTGAAAGCATAGCAGTATGCTGCCATTGAAACCTGCAGATTTAAAAAAAAAAAATGTTTTAATAACTTTTCAACTTGTATACTAATTGTATACTAATATGTTCAAGCCTCTGAGAATTTAATGATCAGCTTTAGATATATTTTAATGCAATAATTACTGATATAATAAATATTATAGTAAAGCTTTTTTTAAATTGTAAAATGATTTGCTCAGATATTATATTATTTCAGAAAACTCACATTCCAATTCCCACTAGCAATATCATTAATGACGATTCTCATTTCAGCAATTAGCTTCTCAAAGGAAATGATCAAAGAATGCCAACATGCAGAAAGGTAAGTACATCAGTAATCGTTCAGAAATGAATCTCCACTGAAAGTTCCATTTCCCTCCTTATTAATATAAGATATCTCTGTTCACTCTACAAGCTAAGAGTAGAATAGCAGGGACTAGCATTCCCAGATCAACATAATAGCATTCAAAGATCATATGGTCAGATTGAAAAACTTTATAAGTTACCTAAATGGGAACATTATGAGTATTTGCCAAAAAAAAGTATAAGAAAACTTTACAAACCTTTAAAAATTGTTCTTAAGAAGGTGGTAGTTGAAGCTCTGTAGTGATGGTTACACCACTCAATATATGAGTCATAGTCAAATGCCTATGATTCCAAAAGGACAAGACAAGAAAACTCCAGAGCATAAAAAGCCCACATAGACAGATAACTCCCAACTTTCTGAGATGAGATAGATGGACATGTAAGCACAAAGTGTATAGGCAAATGACACCCACAGGCCACACCTGACTGAATTAATGTACAATAAAAATGGTTGGTTAAACCCATGAATGCTTTCTTCCACCACTCCTTTTCCTTTATACTGGCATTTCACTCTGACAAATGCAATCTTTTAGAAGTTGAATGAAAGGTGTAGTGCAGTATAACACTTTTGGTAACTTAATCATACATCTTTTTAGATCAGCCTTTCTCAACCAGGGTGCATTCTGGCTTCCTCAGGGGTACCTCGAAATATCCACACAGCGTCATTCCTTTCCAAGGTGCTGGCAGGCTTCTGATATGAAGGGGCCTCCTGAAGCAAAGGGTAATTCTGATATGAAAGAAACTTTCTGATATAAAGGGTGCTTTGGTGTAAAGAGGGCTCCTTATGTGAAGAGGACTCTTGATGTAAAGGGGGTTTTCTCATGTGAAAGAAGGGGGCTCCTGATGTAAAGTGTGTAATCATATTTCTTTTGTGTGTTTGTGTGAGGTCCTCCCATAAAATCCATACCAGACCTCTATCTGGGATAAGGGCCTGGTATGGATTTTGGAGGGGCCACATGTAATTTTTTACATTTAAGTTTTTTACATTTTAGACTGGGGTGCCTCAAGATTCTGCATACTTTTAAAGGTTGAGAAACACTGTTTTAGATTTCTATACATTGAATAAAAAAATGAGGCAACGATGGAGAGACGAGGAACAAAGGGATTTGGTCCCAAAAAGGGACAGCCCCTCCAAATGAGTAATAGTTGGGAGCTATGTACTGTAGATGTAGGACTTACCTGCTGCCAACTCCTTACCAGTGTTTTGTCCAAAGGTAGAATGTGTTGCTATAGTTATTACAGCTGTCGCATCAAGTGATGTAACAGCTGTAAATATTTTGTAAATATCAAAATAAACAAAATGGCTTCTAATGATCATGTATTTGCTTTTGTCTGTCACTGTATACTATTATTTTTTTGCTGTGAAATTGCAAAAACAGAGCTGCTCATGTATTTGATTAAAAAGCAGCAATTTATTTTCGTGTATTCTAGATGCAAGTGTTCCTAGCCTGTTGTCATCACTACAGTGCTGTAGAAAAATCTGACAGGCCGATATTGTTTCAGCAATTGGCATTGTGCACCGAGAAAAACTGGGTAGCACCACAGTGGGGGGTTTGTATTTGTATACAGAGTTAGAGCTTGGGAAAGAATGGTTTTGACGTCACAACAACTTTCATCCACTCTGTCGCTCTCACTCAGACAACAGCTGCATCAATCTGAGCAACCAGACTTTTGAAAAGTAGTTATTCAGACCCCACAGAGAGCCACTTCATAACTTTGAGTGATAGGCATTCATGAAAATTGTTTTAAATTTTTCTCTTAGACACCTGGTTTAGTGTATTATAAATGAAAAGATATTTAGCATACCTTCCAACTTTAACTTTGTAGCTTGTGGAACAGGGACACCTGGGGGAAGAAATGTGGCACGTGGAGTGGTGAAAATGGGTGTAGCTACATTGTACTGAATATTGGGCATGGATTAAGGGGACATGTGTAAATAAAGTCTATGCCTACCATGGTATACCATTGTGGTCATTGGGGACCGGAGGGGTACATTGGAGGTCAGTAAGGGGTAGAAGGGTACTGTGGAGGTCAGTGGGGCCTGTAGGGGAACAGTGGAGGTCAGTGTGGGCTGGACGGGTACATTGATGGTGGTCAGTGGAGGTTGAAGGGGAACATTGGTGGTCAGTGGGGTATGGTGGGTACTTTGGTGGTCAAAGGCAAAGTCCACTTATTCTTTAGATCCCATGCTAAAAGGCAGTATTACACTTTAAAAAAACATGTATTGGGTGAAATATATATTATCTCACACCCCAGCATCCAGTGAAGTTGATGTCAATGCCCTGTTGGCATGATGCTTGGAAAGCTGGGGATCCTAAAATCTGATGAGAAGATGCTCCTTTTTTTTTAGCAATATGATTCACAAAAGTGTTTTCGTTTTTTTAAATCACTGCACGACAAATGAACATTTTGAATAAATAAGAATATGTTTGTTCCTTGTGTATAGACCTCTTCTATCCATAATTTTTTTTTATACAGATTACCTGACACCTTTTTTTGCACCAGGGGGAGGAAATTCCCCTCTCTTTCACGCTACTTTTTGCTCTTGCCCCTTGCTCTTTTCTTCCCCTTTCTTTTTCCCTTCCTCATGTTACAGATCTGTCGTTAGTGACAGATCCTTTAACCCTGTCTGTAAAATGAAGATAGTTTGGCCCTGTTCATTGCCATGTAATTGCTTCCGCCTCTCGAAAGTCCACAGAAAGTGACATAGGAGCCATATTTAAACGGGACTGTTGCTCACTATTTTTGCTGATTGATCCTCAGTTATTCCTGTGTTTATAGTTCCTGTGATCCTGTTGTTTCCTGTTTATTGACCTGGCTTGCCTCGTCAATTCTTCTGCCTGCTGGTTCCACCTGCTGGACCACTGGCTTTGACCCCTGCTCGTTCCTGACTTCCATTCTGGCTTCTGATTTGGTACTGCTATTCCTGATGGGCTTGACCCTGGCTTGTGACCTCGACTCAGCTTCTGTATCCTGCTTCGGTACCCCACTTGCATCTGGTTCCCTACCATCCAGACACCAGTGCTACCTTGTGTCCTTCTTTCCCTGTCCCCACATCCAGGGAAGTTGGACAAGGGATGCCACCTCCTCCATTCCGGTCTCACTCCAGATATGTGACAGGGATACTCTGACCAAAGCACTGAAGCTTCGTGTCAGAAGGTTACCCATATTCTCCCATAACCCATATATTCTTATTGACCCAACCCTAATGATAAGCTGCTTCACTGACCAATAGGAATGTGCTTGAAGGGACAAATATTCTTCAAAACTACCAGTAAGCCTTTTAGCTTTGCTTGCCTGAATTGCCTGGCATCTGGGTGTAACAATGGGACTGCAGGGCTTTTGCAGGTATGTGTCTGACAGCAGTTTTTTATTTACAGGACAGGTTTGCTTTAATCACTGCTTATTATTGCACTATACAGTATATGCTTTTTCTAACCAAATATATGTTTAAAGGAAAAAAAAGTACATTCTTTTTCAGAATATTATTCATTCAAAAACTTTGTATTTAACGTGCAGATAGGCAGTTCTCAAATACAAAAAAGTGCACATTCTCATTTTCCTCTTTATATAAAAGATGTTATTGAAATAGATAGCCAATCTATACATGTGAAGAGGATAGGAAGAGCTGCGCAGATCTTCCTTTGTCACATTTTAATCATAGTACATAAATTACAAATACCATAGCATTAATAGTGTAGTGGATTTCAAGTGCTACAAATCATACTTGGTCCTTGAAGTACATTTACAAATATTATGCATACTGTTTCAAGACTATGTCCATTTAAAAAAAGTTTTCAATTTGGTCCATGATAAAAAAAAACAGGTACTGGGCTAGCATATGATTTAGGATCTTGGCAATAAAAAAAAGCTCAATCCTTGCCATTTAACATTTGGTTAGAATAAAAAATTAAATAAAAGATTTCTTTGTTTTGTAAGAGTTCACTGGTCCAGCATCTTCATTGTCCGATTTACCCTTCCAAGGAACTGATAAATGTAGTATTCACTTGCACTGATCACTGTGTACCTGTGTACTGTGCAGCCACAGCCTTCCCTTTGAGTTCCTTGATTGAACAAACAAAATGGGTTTTACTACCCTTTGTCCAAATTTGATCTTTGTTTTCTTTTTTGTGTTATTTGATGTTACATTGAGTTTCTTAAGTCTTCAAGGTGTCCATTGAGAGAGCAATGAGTCCTGGCATAGTACGGTAAAAAGAGCTGTTTTCCAGACCAACTAGGCTGATAAATGATGTGGACTTCCCAGCCACGCAAACTTGAACCCGAGCTCTATACAGGCCTTTCCCATTCTTTGATCCAAGGTCCACCAGGATCTGAGAGATGGAAGATATAATGTGCTGTTATTTCTGTCAATGTGACTAATATTATATTTGTTTCTTTTATGGAGTTTGTTTTTTTTAACTAAAATTGGCAAGATCAGTAAGACCATGAAAGGATTTTATGTTAAAATAGTCTTTATCCAAGTGTGTCTCAGCCACATAAATTCCATTTAGTTTTTTGCACTCTGGAATGTACCATCTTCTAGTACAACTGAAGAAAATTATCTGGTAACCTCCAAAGATTTCCAAACCTGCTTCAAACAAACCTAGAATAGGATACACATTTCATTCTGCCCCTGCACAGGAGCAGGGACCAGGTACTGATTTCCTAGTTGAAGTTGATATTTGTATATTAGAGTGTCCCATTTTTAGAACATTCAATACACTTTAAAAGACAATTGACACTATATTCAGACACCTGGAGGTGCCTGCTATTGCTTCCCATTGGCATATTACAAAAGTTATTCCGACTATAGGTAAACTTTAAAATAATTTGTTGAGAAGTGAGGTACATCTATGAACTGGACCTCTTCATTCAATGTCATTAAAGAATGGGAGCTGCCTAATAACTTGGGTGATAAATTGCCTTTGCACACACTTTTATAATGAAAAAATATACTGATGCTGAGCTCACTTGAAAAATGTCATGCTGGCTTTTCAAACAACGATATAACAAAAACAAATAATCATGCATCTATATTGCATGAAGTCGTACCACTCAGATAAAAGGGATCATGATATATCATGCTTAATTTACAGAAATATATTAATAAAATCATTGAGACCCTCATACGTATTTCTTGTGATGCAATGCCATTATCCTGATACAGCTGTGTGCTACCCATACATTGTTCCACAATTATTTGTATTGTAAAAAAAATTCTAGCCACCTTGATTGACTGGCAAATTAATAAAGTAGCCACTAATTTCCCATTCTCACCTCCTGAAACTTCATTGACAGCTCACTTTCAGGTATTTGCAAGATCCACTTGTACTTCTCTTTAACAGACTCAACTTCGCCAAGTGCTTCTGCCACGTGCTGGCAACCTGTGCAGTATTGACATGTAAAATTTAAGTGACGCATCCACTGAAGAATGGAAAACTAGAAGTAATCTCTGACAAGGTTATTCACAAAAGGGTGAAGAGTTTGGAGAAGGCAGGATTGGTGAACAATCTAGGACAAATAGCTCATTTGGAAGAATTCTCCAACTCAGCTCACTTTCCAGTTCAGCTATGTTGTCCTAGATTTTTCACTTCTCCAGCGATTTATAAAATTTGCAAGAGAACTGCTGATCTGGAAATCATACTTGTGCATTAGGGTTTGTCATATAGGTAAACTGGTGCATCCCAATTCACATTTGTATGTCCACACACATGGTGGTCAATTGCACCTCTACTAGGGACTCTTACTAATTTGAAGTCCTGAATCAGTTTCTGCAAATAAACAACCCTTGAGGCAAAGATGATGAAAACCCACAGCTGGCTTCAGTTTTCTTATTTATTATCTAATTTTTTCTTTAAGAATATAACTATTTATTCCCATAGAATTAACTAATTATTCAAAAGTATGGAACTTGCAATCTGTTGTACAGTACCTTGGTTTTCTTTCCTTTCTCTGTTGATGCTCGAGAGGTCTCTTTTCTGCAGTTGAGAATGATCAGGAACTAGGTGTTCTGTTAAAAAGCCATAGTTTGATATACGTTAATGGAGATGGCAGTTTAAAGATCTTTTCCAGGCAATTCAGTGAGCTACAAATGCTATCTAGACAATGCTACAACATACTAAAATAAGGTCTCCTCATTTTCCCTGCCTAATACTTATTTCATAGTCCTGTCTAATTTTCTGTTGCCAGATTCCAGAAAGCACCTCGCATAGTAACTATAAATGAACTTCTTGATGCCTTCGCTGTGTAACTTACTTTCTCAAATTCATAGCATGATTCAATAGGAACAGATTTGTATTGCATCATCGATTTTCTCAAGCCTTATTTTAGAACTAAGGTAGTACAAAGATGGCATATGCCCTTGATCCCAGTCCTCTCGTAGTGCTCACAATATAATGATCCATGTTTATGGATCTCATCTAATGCCCAATCCTGCCTTTACACACTAAGGCCTCATTTGGACGATTATTGGTAAAAACAGTTGGTCCGAGTTTTTCCTGCCAGCAATGCTGGCCACCCACCTAATCAAATTTTAAACAGTATGTTGCATTCTGCAGGGAGTGCCGCTTGCCAAACACCACAATTCCAATCAATTGGCATTGCAACTTAATATCCCCATTGGGATGATTAAAAGAACCGCAAAATATAACGCTGGCCAGCCATTGGTCTACCACCCCAGATCACTTTTTAAAGGGGCAGGGGATCCTGCCACCCATCTGAACTTAGTTTAACAATTGTGTATCTGCAAATGTAATGTTACAGCTGCCAAGATGTTACTGGGCAGCATAAGACACAGGAATCAGCCTCTCTGTTTCTTCTCTCTTGTTCGTGGACTAACTACCACTTCATCCCTATTAGCTTGTCTGTTCCTATCACAGTGACATTTTGGCTCTTTTGTTCTCGAAGTGTAGTAACACAAAGCAACCAAAAAAATGTGGTTACTGTACGCAGTTCACCAAAAGATTTATTCTAATTGGTTGCTATCAGTTATTGTTATGTGTCTGTAGTCATTGTCCTGTTTTATTATAATCAAGCCTGATAGCTTTTCATTAGCTAAAAGTGGAAAAATAAATCCAGTACCTAGATTTGATCCTGCAGGGTTCTGTGAAACAGGAAGATCGTCTATGAGAACACCTTCACTTCTGAGATGTGACTTCAGGCTGTGAATAGCCCGCCATCCTTGTTCTTTCAGCTCTTGCACTTCATCGTCATTTATCTGAAATGTCAAAAAAAAGCATACATCTACTTGATACTTTTTAATGTAGTCCTTTAATGACAGTACCACTGGTCTTGTTAAATGACCTGTGGGCAACATCACACACAGGGGAAGAATAAAATATTTTAACATGCTGAGCACTGCTTTTCATCAGCATTTCTTTTACCAATGATATATAATGATGCCAACAAGGATAATCCATAGCAATCTCTGTAAAATCTAGATTAGCCTGTCCAGGATCTGGTGCCACAAAAATGGGTGACCGCTTCTCGTTATTGGCACAATAGTGGGTATATCACCATAGATACCAATAGGCAATCACAGAATCTTCAAGCACTATGTGATGCTCATCTCAAAATCTGCATGAACATAATTTTAGGGATATATTTATAAAGCAGTAAATTTGACTTTCACCAAGCATTTACTGGTAGTGAATCAATCACTCCTTTAAAACACATGCCTCTGGAAGATTCACCCACAATGAAGGTTTGGTAAATGCAGGGGTGTCCCGAGGCCAGCTGTCACCCGGAGCGGAGAACGGGTGACACCCCGCCGTGACATCATCGCGCATTTGTGGTCACCTTATTGACACCTGCCGGTGGCCATCTTAGTGATGGACGCCGGCAGAGAGAGGAGGGAACGTTCATCCGGCGTGATGAGATATGCTGCCGGGTCCCCTCCTCTCTCCTGACACTGTCCATGACCGAGTGCCTTACTTTTCATAGCGGGGGACACCAAAATGACTGTCAGTCCGATGGTGGCATTCGGGAGCGGGCCACACCCTCCTTGTGACGCCACTGGGTAAATGACAGATTCACTGCTTTAAAGAAAAAAAATCTAAAGCCTAAGTTTTTTCTTTATTTTTGGATAGGGTAGGGAATGTTCCTCTGCCATTTATTTTTTTGTCTGTGTACCATAGGGGGCATTTCCCTTTACTTCCTGTCCCAGAGACACAACAAGAAGTTAGACAATACCTTCCAAAGTTAGGGGAATTATCCTCTTAAACAGCTGTCTTCAAAACGATTTCCCCTCACCCCTTGTTCTGGGGACAACTCTAAAATGTTTAATGTACCCTCACTTTCTTTGTCTGTGACAATGGTCAATATATGAGTTGGGTTATTTAGATACTTATTAATAAATGTGGCGAGTTTTAATTTAGTACATATGTAAATACCTGGTGATCCTGCCAGCTCCTTTTCCTGCCAGTTTCAGTTTCAAACTGACCATGCCAAGCAGGAAAGCAGATCCATGCTGATGTGGCCAGTTTGCTTCCCTGGGATGGCTGCTAGGAATTACCGGATGCCATGCTGATGCAGTGCGTTCCTGCAACCCCAATAGTCAGATTGCTGCTGACACCCTGCCTTCACTGATTACACACCCCTTCACTGCATGGAGTTTCCGTCTACCAATCTGATAAGTGGCTTGAGCCAAGTCTGGGTGTAGGGCTAACATGCATGCTGTGCCTCCTTCCCACAATGCAGTGTTCAGTGCCTCAGCAACCTATCGCCAGGCTCAAGCTCTGTTGTGTGGGGAAGCATACCTAGCCATATGCAAATAATGTCTTTTTTAAAAGAGAGCAGGAATATGCTATAAACAGATATGCTTTAAAATAGATTTTCCTCCAGATCTACAAAAGCTAAAACACTAGTTGCACCTAATCATAATGTGATCTTTTATATACATATTGTAGTGCATGGCTTCTTACATCCAGTAAAAGCTGCTCCTCCAGTCCTAGTGTTTCTTTGCCCTCTACATTCTCCTCTAGTGAATTCACAGACTCTGGAAAAGCCAGACTGTTAAGAGCAGACACCCAATCATCCAAAGCAGGTCCCATATCTGAAAAAAGAGAATCAAACACTGTGCTCTGTAGTTTCCTGGAAGAACAATGAAGAGAAACAATATTCCATTAGATGTGTATGTCGTTTAGCCATTTAAGCAAATGATATTTCCCTGTTATGCCGACATGGAGCCGTCAGGAAAGGAAAATTGCGGTAAGTATGAAATACAATTTTCCTGTACCTCTTTGTGTGGGTAACACTATTGCCATTCCACCACAGAGTAGTAGTATACAGTTTTAACAAAATCTTTGCAGCACATTTGTGAGCTATGGAGCTATTCCTGTCCTGTCAAGAAATCTTTATAGTCTTTGCTTCTATACATCAAAAAGCATTTACCAATAATATAAAATAGCAAGTTGCGTTAAAAAGCATTTCTAATACTGTACTCATTCTATCATTCTTTTTTATTTTACCAGAACCTTTTTTGAAATACATTTTTCACATTATCTGAGTTGTTTTTGATCCTAGCCCAAAATTTGGGGAACCAAAATCTTGCCACCCCCCCCCCCCCCACACACACTGTAGTCTATGGGGGGGGAGGGGTTGGGCATGGTGGTAAATCTTGTTGTTCAATTTTATGGAACTAATAATCAAAGTTATGTCAAGCAAATGGCATACAAAGTTAGCCACTACTATAGAGGACATGTACCAATGTACAAAATAATATGCTGCATAGTGGGGAGAGTGCATTTTCATTTTGCTTTGAGGGCAACATTGAAAATACACAAATTATTTTCAATTACAGCTTGTGTCATGACTTAAAGCTTTACAAAGCATTACAGGACCAGGTACTAAAGGATATGTAGCCCACAACTGCAATCCACAGCATTTTAGGGTATAGCACAGTTAATCACATTATGGCACACTATAATGTGACAATATGTACACTGACAATATGTCTGACAAAGGCTAAGCCATATGGCCAGAAAGTTGGAACATGAAGACTGATTGGTAGCGCACTTCCCTCCCTTTCTTTCTGTTCATAAGCCATATGGCCAGCATACAGTATCTGATTCAGCCCCAACGCAAATCCCAGGGGTCGCATTTTTAAGGCCTCTTGCAGTACAGATATGCTGGCCATACTCATGGAAATTTGCAGGAAGTTTCAAACACTTTCAACTAGCCTCAAATGCAAAAATGACAATGCAGATTAATGTAACCTACAATCAGTAATTTTTTTTCTCAAAACGACAAAACAAATAAAACTGCTGGGAGTAAGTTGATGCTTTGGCAATTTTTATGAACAAATTGCCTGCTGATTCTTATGTCTATAACGAGCTATGTTATACAACAGTTATGCAACAAACCAAATCTATGCAGAGATGTGAATAACTGATCCACTTTAACAACACCAGATATACTTTCATGTTACCTGTGTGTATCATTTCCAGAATGTGTCTCTGTCCTGTTGTATTCTTCAAAATCAGTTTGTCCATTCTTATTCAACTCCTCCGAGGCCGAATGCTGCTCTTTTAAAGAACCAAAAAAATGCAACCATCAACTTTAAGGCTTAACGAGGAATAGCAATTATATATACAGGTGAAACTCGAATAATTAGAATATCATGCAAAAGTAATTGCAGTAAGTGCTGCAAAAGGGGCCCAAACCAAGTACTGAGGACATATGCATGCTTGTACTTTTCAGAGGTCCGATATTGTTCTATGTACAATCCTTCTTTTATTGATTGAATGTAATATTCTAATTTTTTGAGGTTGTGGATTTGGGGTTCTTGGGGTTTTCATGAGCTGTAAGCCATAATCATCACAATTATGACAAATCACGGCTTGAACTATCTTGCTTTGCATGTAATGAGTCTATCTCATATATTAGTTTCACCTTTTAAGTTGCATTAGTGAAATAAATGAACTTTGCACGATATTCTAATTATTCGAGTTTCACCTGTATATATATAAATATATACAGTATATGTATATAACCCAACTGCTTTTATGTTGTGGTCACAGATACAGGGTACTCGTACTCTGGTTTCCTCCCACACTCTGAAGACATGCTGTTAGGTTAATTGACTTCTGTGTAAAGGGACCTTAGATTGTAAGCTCTATGAGGACAGGGACTGATGTACACCTATGTCGTGATACTATCGCTCAGGTCTGTTTGTGACTAACAGGTGACAAGAACTTCAGTGTCAGCCTCTGAAATGATTAAAATAATGTATGTCTAAAGTCAGATTATTCAACTTAAAAATAGTTAACATGAAAAAGAAAAGCTATTTTAGGCTGAGTTCACACAGGCAGCAGCCTCCACCGCCCTCTGAAAAGTGATCCATAGTGTAGTAGAGCAGAGGATAAAGCCACCTCCTCAATGTAGTTTTTAAAAATCCAATGGGGATTTTCTATTACGCACCCACCCAATTGTGTCATAGACCCATTCCTTGCAGTGAACGTACTTGACAAGCGGAACCACCTGCCCAACAAGACGTGCTGTGTATTTTTTGCTGCACCGTGGCACAAAGCAACACGGAAAAACTATACAGCACTGTTTGGCTGGAGTGCTGCCATTGCTGTAAAACCACCAGATCAACCACTTGGTTTTACCACCCCCTTGCTGCTCATGTGAATGAGGCCTGAAGGTATGAAAAATTGGTAGTTTTTTGTCATTATTGAAAACAGATCTGGCTGTGTACAAATTGATTTTGTTCATCATAATGAGGTACCTGGAAGGTCTCTGCGAGCCCTAGAGGGAAATATGTCGCTGTACATTTGCTTCATAAACTGTGGGATGGTCTGAGTGAAGAATAAAAAGTCCATGTTTTTTCGCAAAGAGTCTTCTGCCTTACGTAGCAAATTTAGTAGAATCTGAAGATAGGATCGAAGCTCTGAAATAATGAAAGGCAGATGAGAGTATGAGACATCAGTGCATGCCTGCGACTTGATATCAAACAGGAAGCTTTTACATACATGACCTATTAACACTTCTCAGACACTAACTCACTCAGTGTCCGGTTTTATTTCAGCAGAGGGAGCCTTTAGCTTCAGCAGCTGTCCCAAGCCAGTCCTTTTTATATGGCCATGAAATTTATATTTATAGCCTGCCTGTATCTGTAATGCATTTTAACATCATATCTTTAACTGAGCCATCCTAAGTTATTGATAATGACTGTGATTTTCAAGTATGATATCTATGCTGACTACAGGGTTTTATGCTCATATATCACAGAGAGAATATAATGTAAGAATCAACCTCAAGGAGAAATAATAATTGAAGAAGCTATTCACTGTGTCACTCTGCATGCACCTTAAACACCATGTAGGACTTATAGCCTGGTTTAATACATAAAAATCCATGAGTCTGTGCTTTTTCCAAGTTACCTCTTCTATGAGCAATTGCTGAAAGTCTTACATTCTACAGCCAATTAGATTAAAGAGGAACTTTACCCATATCTTAAAAATGACAACAAATACACGTTTAGAAATGTTTAATGATGACAATCTACAAACACATGCTTCTAGATAATTGCAGGCTTTGTATTCTTGCATACCTTATTTCTCATCTTCCACAGTCTTCTGTCAATGGCTATTTTTAGTAACGCAGATTATTTAATCTCCCTTTACTTCCTGGATCTCTGGCACATATGACTAGGACATGTGACCATCCACATCATCTTAAGGGAGGAAAATGCCTTTCCCCGAGATCTCATGAGATTACAGATGAGATTTCCCAGCAAGCCACTGCTGATGTAACCTTCCCAGGATGCAACGCTTGGGCACATTGCATCACTTATGCCTGAGAGAACCAGGAAGTAGAAAAACAATAATTGTAAGTAAAAGAAACATATGTTTGTTTAACTATTGAGTGTCAGATGTTATCATATCAGCATGCAGAGCTGCATTCTGATGTGATTTTTAGTGAAAAGGGGTAAAGGTCTGCTTTAAACACCTTAGTTATGCTTGTGGGCCCCATAAATGATTTTACACTGAGAGGAGCTACAACTGTGCAAATAATTTTCGTAAAAAAATGAAACATCCCACTAATTAATAATCCACATTTTCATATTTTTTGTTAAAGGAACAAAAAACTGTAAAGTAAAAACTCATAATTACAAATATAACCAGCACTTACAATTATTTGGGGGAAATGTGAGCAGGTAATCAATAAATAGATCAAGAAAGGACTCACCGCATCTTCTCTGCTTCTGTCTGCACTTCTCCTCTGCTAGCCGTGTACAAGCTTCTGGGCCAAGAGGACCTGGACACGACTGCTTATAAAAAGAACAGACCGAGTTGATCTCTGACTTGTGATTATTTTGCTGAATATCACTCAATGCACGTAACTCAAGACATGAAGGCTCTAGAGTGGGGTTTGACTCTGTAGATGAAAAAAGCCTCTTTAGTAAAGGCATTAATCTCTCATCATCAAAGATAATGTAATGTTTACAGAATATGCTGTATCTACACAAAATATTGTTACTGTACATAATATATTCCGACTTGCATTATTTTAATCACATATGTTATAGCTCTTTATGTTCTGTGGTCAACATGTACAGATAACCTGTTGCAAAGTAATCTGCTCACTTTTCATCTGGCTTCCAATCCAGTCAATGAAGGCTGTTACTCTAGTGTATACTCCTGGTTTCCCTTTCTCTCCACAGCCATCACCCCAGGAGGTGATTCCATACAATACATATTGCTTAGATAAAGGATCCTGGCAGGTCAAAGGTCCTCCAGAGTCTCCCTATAGAGGAAATAATGACATTAGAACAGAATACTGCTGATTAGCTAATCATATTAATTAGAAAATCTCAAAAGAAAGTGTGCTATGACTTTTTGATAGGCTTACTTGAGTAATTGTCAAGGAACTGCAGCACTTTTCCTAAGCACTGTGCATCATAACCATCTGCATTTTGTATTTTTATTTCTAAATACTGCCTTCATCCTTTTGCATCCTTTGTTTGTATCTCAATGCTGTTGATCTCCTCCAGCACCCTTTGGCCACTAACTGTGTATATTGTACATTCACATGCATCAGCATTGACTGCACAACATTGCTATGGACCTGTCTGATGGTGACTATGGTGGAAAATGCCTGCATAATATGTGTTGGCACACCTATTTGTAGTCTCAAACAAGAGTGTGTGACAGACTAATAATGCAAGTGTACAATTGTCACCCCATAACGGGAGATGAGGACTGAACAATGACCCTCATGGCAGAATCACCAGGTGTTATTTTAATTAAAGTGATATTAAGGTTAAACGGTTTTTAAGCTATTTCAAATGTTGATAAAATCACTTACAATAGATGCTGATGTTGATGTTTAGATGTTTTAGCTTCCTGCAGAATCAGCTGGTCCCCTGAGCACTGGTCCTGATATCCAGTGATTAGAGTGGCTCCTTCCCTTACAGGGTCCTATGGAGCCACCATCATGTGTGCTAGTAAGCTGAATGTGTCTCCACAAACGCACAGGGACTCCCCTGCTCCCTTCCCACCCTTCTTCCCTTCTCCAAGCTAATAGATGGACAGCTGCTGGAGACTGCTCAGTCCCGTGTGATCTTGTACTGGACAGGAAGTCCAGGGAAGCAGAGCTAAGAGAATTGGAGCTGCTCAGAAACATGATTGTAAGTGCTTGGGAAAATATATAAATACATTATTTGCTGGGCAATGTATATTTGTTTTATCTGGATTCATTATTGAAAAAAGATTCAGAGTTTAAAGCTTTAAAGTTGTTCTTTTAATAAGACTGAAAACAACTTTTGAAATTACATTACCATGTTGAAGTTTATATAAGATTTTCGTGACTGGGTTTAGAGTTACTTTAAAGGATACTGTGTGGCTAGGGAGTTACATAATCTTCTCATATCTGGGCCAGCATCTTAATCCAAAAAAGAAGATGGTATCCCTGGATGATAACCGGATAAATGTAATGTTAGGTCTGCTTTAAAAAGTGATAGAAATATAGGGTATAGAATACTGTGTATTTCAATAAATGAAATAAATGAGTATTTGATACATAGCTGCATTAATGCATATGCACTAGGTGAACTATTCTTTCACTTGTCAAAAAAAGGCCACAAATAAGTGTTGTTTACAGCACTTAAGAAAACCACATAGACAGATCCTACTTTGCAGTTGCAAACTAATGTCGTAGTTTACATAATTACCCTTGACATTCTCTAAAATGTTCACAGCTGCACAAATCAATCCACCTATTTCACTGTAATTGTTTTAGAAGTCAATCCATTACCTGGCAAGAGTCAATGCCTCCAGTAAGATAACCTGCACAGAACATGGTGTTGGTGAACATCTCTTTCCCCAGGGTCTGTATACAGGATTCCTGACTTAGGACTGGTACACTGGCTTCCATGACAACATCTGAGGGTGGACCATCTAAGTGTATGAAAAGCATTAATAATATTTTTACAGCTGAACAATATAGAAATGTTTGCATTTATGTTATGCTAATGTAATTGCTTAATGAGAAGATAGTCTGTAAGGACCATATTTTAAAGCAATGTCTGCTTTCTGCTTTTGGTCTGAGATTTGACTGGTCTTGGGTACCATCATCCCACAATACAAGACTTATCTCCTTCCAGGACAATAATCTTGAAAACCTGCTGACATGTTTGTTTATATGGGTCAGGGAAATTAATGTCTCAATTGGAGGTTGTTCAGTATGTATATCTGGCTATAATACCTAAGCATCTAAGGACTTCATTTTACCTGTACAGGTTGACCCTCATTTATACAGTGGCAAAAAAAGATTGTCTACTTATTCCTTTTCCTCTCAATATGTGTAACCAACATATAACATTAAAGGATTTTACACAATTGTTACTGTTCTTAGCATTGCTTAACTAAATAATATACATGTAAGCAGTAATTAAAAATCCTGACCTTCATAAAGAGATCCCCATCCAGCAATGTAGCAGTTTGTGCTAGGAGCAGGGTCCACAGGTGCTGAAGGCAGACACACAGGTATTGCTCTCTCAGAAGCTCTCACTTTATTTGTCAGCTCTACCAGGGCTACATCATTATTAAATGTCTTCTGGTCAAACTATAACAAAGTATATAGAAAATGAGATTTGTCTGGTTTTCCGACAATAAAACATAGTCCACAGCAGTGCTTCTCAACTCCATTTCTCAAGTACTCCTAATGGGGCACATTTTCAGGAGATTTGCACAGGTCAAAGAACAGTAAGTGTTTTATCAAAACTGGAGCAGATAAAATCTGGAGCAGCTGTGCATGGCAACCAATCAGCTCCTCTCTTCAGTTTGTTCAGTTAAGATTTGAAAATTAAAGAGAGAAGCTGATTGGTTACCATGCACAACTGCTCCAGATTTTGTCTGCTCCAGATGTGATAAAGTCCCTTCAATCTGTATAGCCAAAACTCTTTTTAGTTTGTTTTTTTGTAGGAAACCTTTACATACAAGGGACAAAAGTCACAAAATGTAACCTGTTAAGTTTGCTTGAGGACTGAAATTGAGAGTCACTTGTCTGAAACCCATTCATTGCATTAAATACATCAGTCTGTAAGGAATGCATTCAAAATTAAAATGTAGAATTCTATTCAGCCATCGTGAATATATCCCTTTTTTTAAACATAAAACAGTACGAAGACCCTTAGTGGCTATATATATAAAGTATTTCTGTTTTTGTAGCTATGCCTCCACATTTGTCTGCCTTACCAAGACTCCTTGGACACACAGTTTGGCTCAGATTATTATTGTCAATTGCCCTGACATCAGCTTGCTTTATTTTATGTGTAGTGTAGAGCAAAATGCAGGTGCAAACTCATTATCACATAGCAACCAGTCATAACTGAGCTAGCTACAGAAAACCTAAAATCTGACGTGTTACTATACTTTACAAATTCTCTCGCCTATAGCACTATCTGAGCACACACAGGATTTTATCTTAAATCTGTGCTGCATATTTTATCTAAATTCATTGTAATAGTTATTTACGAAATAATGCAAAGAATATCACAACAAAATGGGGAAAAATTCATTTTTTCTGGATTAGGATTATGGTCTCATGCCTTTTGCCATTATCAGTTTTCAATTTCACTTCCTCTCTTGGGCTCGACTATCAGTTGTGCATGGATGATACACAAGTTTAACTCTACCATGCTGAACTCACTGTCTGTGTTTTCAGCTGTCTTTAACCATCTGCTCCAAGTTAAACATAGAAAAGCCAGAAATGATTCAGCTTTCCGTCATTCATGCTATAGTTCATCACTTTTCTTTGAATGCAGAAAGAAACACACACACACAAATTCCAAATATAATATGGCCTTGGGCATTGGAAAGCAAACTAGATTTCGTATACTGTCTCATGAGCTATTAAACAAATATACAGCATACTGCAGTTTTGGCACATTATCTTTATGAGGTAGTGTCTTAGGATGACAATTATCACCTACCCAAAGGCGTAAGGAAACGTTCCAATGCAAAAATGAGAACCGAGAATGAATGACCATAAAGACCGACTAAGGTGACCTTTCTCAGTGCAACACATGCTTATTTAATACAAAAGTGCTTGATCACTGTGCACTGCCCTCAAAAAATGCCAATTTTAAGATTGATTTACCAATAAGGAAATGGCTAAGCAGATGCATGACCTGTGATTCTTGTGCTTTGGTCAAAGTTTGTAACGGTGTCCCATCTAGTGTTACAGACCACACCACATTTTAGCCGGAAAGGTCAAACCTCCTTTTATCATGCCACTGCATATTTCCCAACAGTCCTTTTGTTAAATGGGCAGTCCTTTTTTTAAAAACAAATCTATCTCTATCTATTTCAGCCACAACTGTCCCTCTTATATGTGATGTAGAGATCTGCATTACTACATGTACTAAATGTTCTGTATTATAAAGTGTTAATATTGCTGTAAAGCTTGCAACCAACTTACAAATTATTACACTGGTTATTTTTAAATGCTGCTATATAAAGAAAAATAAAGCACCAATGTGTTTGAAATGAACAGGTCCCCTTTTTTTCACACCCCTGACTCTACTGCACATGCCCCCCCTCTCCCGCTTATACCCATCTTTTGTTTGCTCCCCTGCTGCCTAATTCACACACCCAAGCCAAGTAAAAAAGTCTAGTGTAAGTTTTTTTTTTGGCCACAGCTTGCACATGGTTAATGACCCTATTCCCACCCCCATGTGACAGTACTTGGACTTGTTAATTGGCTGCTTAGACACCCAGTGCTGTATTCTAGGGGGAGGGGGGAGACTCAAATGCTCTTCCATATTCAGAAGTACTGAGTATTCCGCTTTGCTTTGTGTGGTACTGCTTGGAATGTAAATGTAATTATTCTTTAATTCAACTCAAATACCTTAGGATGAATTATAATTCTGTTCACTTGGAAAACCATTTTTCCATCTTCCTGCTTGCTGAGATCATATTCTCCAACAACAACTGTCCAGTGCAATTCATTTACATCCCTAAATGCATATAGAAAATACCCACATAAGCACATTATACTGCAACGTAACTTTATTGAAGTGTCATAAATACATTAAGTTTAGTGTCACTTTAAGAGTAATGTATATTTATTTGATCTGGATTCATTATTGGAAAACACTTTGAGCATTTAATACTACTTTAACAAACTGGGCCTTTTGCCTTTGTGGAACAGACTCACAAATGTATCATTTGGAAATAACTGATGCCTCTGAAGACTTATCTTCCGTATACTGTATCTAGGTTTCTGATGCTTTTTGTCTATGTTCAGATGCACTTAACATGTATTCATATGCAGTTATGTGCATTCAAACATGCTTCTTTATAAAGTTTGTATTTTACATTTCTTTACTGAAATGACAGCAAGCTAAAAATCAGAACAAATGTTTGCATTACATAATAGAGTGGAATAGTTTCTTTAGGCAAAACTGTAACAAAATACTACAGTCTTATTAGATAAAAAACACAGGTATGTAGCCAAGTGATCAAGTCATTCAATGTTGATACATTAAAATTAGAGAATTAATTCCATACCCATTAAAGCAATGTGCAGCTGTAAGGACCCACACATCTCCCAGCAAGACTCCTCCACACATGAGCTCACCATTAAGTCTAATGTTAACCAGCCATGGCCAAGACCCTGGTGAGGTAACACTCCCTCCAACTATACGACCTTTGGGACCAGTACTGTTAATGACAGGTGCTATAGTCCGTCCACAGGTCACTGATAAAGAGAAACAAAACATGGAAAACTCATTTGTTTATTTCATTTTGGCATAAGACATGTTTAGTCCTTCACATAACGCCAGAATCCTTGCTGCTACAAATGCAGATAATCATGAACAATAACATGTATTAAGCACTGTGTCTCTTGACTGAAGTTTATGTAGAAGAGCTCTTCATACTTCCTAGTACAATTGAGACTTCACCTTTTCATTTTCTACGACAGGGTAGAAAAGGGCGTTTATGTATTACTGGAACAGAGGCTGCTCATGTTGCAAAATGAATGTTTAAAAAAACAGCACTTTTGCTACTATATAATAGAGTAAGTCAACTCCGGTTCATGTTATTTACTCAGATTTACTTAGCTAAGTGAACAATCTCTACTCCTGTGGCAAATCAGCGCCGACAAGAGGGGGAACACAAATATGCTGGCCATACACTACTTGATTCTTGTTCAGTCCACAGGCTCAAGGAGAAAAATCAATTCCCCTATCTATGCTAACAGCATGGATGGAGGAATCGCCACTGGCGGCTAATGTACTCACACAGCCTCAGGTGCTGAATACAATGGTGCTGCCGAAAAGTGACTGCATGTGATAGGATACAGTCACTGTTGGGCCAATAATTTTACACCCAGCTCAGTCGATATTTGAGGTTTAGACACCTTTTTTGAAACAAAAAAAAAGAATTCACACATATTGATGAAAGAAAGGTTTGCATATGTCATTCTTTTGTAATGAAGCCTGCAAAGTATTGCAACTGTAATTAGTAGATCACAGGTGCAATGCACAGGCTCCTGCAGACTGTTCCTCCAACTCTCGATCCAACAGACCTTCAGTTAAGGGACTGGAGGAAGCAATCAATGAGTCACTGAGATCTAGAAGTCTTTCTGCTGTGGTGGCAGATAAGACTTGTACACTTTCCATTCCAAGATCCCACCAGCACAGTTGCACTGAATTCAAAACTAAACAGAAGTCTATGGGAAGAAGAATCCCCTTGATTTAGGTAAGTCCATTTATTAAATATGGGAGTACCATGAAACATGGTCAAAAAGGTGGACTATTCTTTTAAATCGACTTTTGTTGAGTTGGGTGGTACTTGAATTTCATCCAATTTAGCAGAAATCAGTCAAAATTTGAGCCATCCATGTGAGCCTTTAGTTGCTACAAATGGCACAGGCAGTTCTTTTTTCATGTACATGTAATTATGAGGTCAATATGACATTACCCAGAGGTACAGGTAAAATAATTGTAAGCTCATGCTAAGCACAAATTTTTAGTGAAAATATAACATTTGTAGTAGTTTGAGGTTAATTATTTGTTTATATTTTTTAGTTTATGTTTATAAACTGGTGTTGTCTTTTGTTATGTTATTATTTGTATAAAATCCTTATTTTACAAATAAACATCGATACAAGGTGCTTCCGTGATTCAGGTGTTTATTAGGAAACCCCAACAGTAGCTCTGTACTTTTTAAATGTTCTTGCAGCTGAAAGCGATTTTTTACTTCCAATATATAAGTCATATGTGAAAACTCTGTGTATTTCCTATAATAACATTTTAATTCATAATAAAAAATTGCATGTATTATATTTTGTATACAATACGGAAGCTGTTTAGATGTTCAGAAGATAGTCCATCTATACTTACATAAACTTCCTTCATCTGGTGAGTCACTGAGATAATCCATGTCACTTTCCAATTCTGTGTAAAAAATAATGCATATGATAACATATTAATAACTTGTTATATGGCCGCAGGCAGTAACACCCATTTGGATCAGGGGGGATCTCATCAGACTTTTTTCTTTTGAAACCAATACAGGTTACTGGACTAAAGGAAACTATTTTCGCCCTTAATAATAATCAGTGTTCAGACCGACCTTAAAGCACAACTGCTTGTAATCCTTGCAGTGGGGCTACCCCCGCACGTCAAGGGTTAAGTTGGGCTACCCCTGCACTGCAAGGGTTACGTGCTCGTTTGTGTCTAGGTTAAAAAAAAAGTTATACTCACCCGAACCTCGGATCCAGCTGGCTGTGACAGCACTCCCTCCAGCCTGTATCCTTCTCCACTGCAGTGATGGTATGTCCCTCGGCAGCCTCATGTACTATACACTGTGTATAGAATGTGATGACTTTGGGATCCTTAGACTGCTGCAGCGGAGCTGAAAAAAAGCTTCAGGGATCGGTCTGGCTGGCTCTGAGGATCAGGTGAGTATTGTGACGGTAATGAGTTTTGAGCATATTTAATAAAATATTCTCTCTTCCCTCATCTTGAAAAAAAAATGCAGCCTTCAATTCAGTTCAAGTGGCCTAAGGATGCCCTGAATGTACCAGGCATCCTTAAATTCCAGCAACTATATCTGGGCCTGTGATCTTTATAGTACTTAGAGTAGCACTAAAACCTAATTGTTTATATAGAGCTTCCCCTAGACATGTGGATTAGCATTAATTATCTTTTTACGATAAGGGTCGTAAATCGCTAATACCATGGTAATTTTCTTGCCCAGCTAAGCTAATCCTCTACAGATCGCCTGGTGAAAAAGGAGGTAAAGTATGGTATCTCACTGAATCATAAACTGAGATTGACAATATTAACCCCCCAAAAATCCACATATATCAATCATGGGTAGGTTACCATTGTCAAAGGCCTGACAAGCCACATTACCCCTCCTGGGCCAGTCATGATTGATGTTCTCTGTTGCATGCAGAAAGCTTGCATCACATTTCTGGCAACATGCTTTTTTAGTAGTACTATTTTTCTTTTCTTCGTGGCAAAATTAATTTAATAATATAATATTAGGATTAGAGTTTAGTTTCATTTCGAGGCTTAGACTTATTGGTGTAATAAATGAAGGTTGAGCTGAGGGGCATGTTTAGGTTAAGGGTTAGGTTAACAGTTTGTTTAGGAGTTTAATTTGGGTTTAGGGCTAGGATTAGGGGTTGTAGGAGAAGTGCGGGCAGAGTAAAACAGCAGAATTAAACTATCTTTGCAATTTAGAGTTGTTGTGGGATGCTGCAGCTGTCAGATGCTGGCTCTATAATGAGAGCTGAGCAATCATGCAACTGCTGATTGCTCATCTCTTGGGCTCATCTCCCTGCACAGAACACTCACTGTCAGTCACTGCTCCCCACAGGGGTTCTCCCCCTTCTCTGTTCCTCCAGTGCTCATTGGAGGAACACACAGGGGAGGAGGTGGGCACAGCTGGCTCAGGATCTAGAGAGGCAGATTCAGCTGTCACTTAGGCAGCGGGGTGGACACCAGATGCACTGTGACCATATATGGGGCATTAGCCTGCTATATACTGACTTTGGGTCACAGAAGTACATTAGTGAATGTTCTCCTGTGAAAAAAAAGGTTTGGCATTAGTCCTCTTTTAAGTTTAGAGGCTAGGTTCAGTCAAGGGTTAAACTAAGGTTTAAAGTACAATTAAACCTTCGTTGTTTTTTTTTTTGCATATATCTACTGCTAGCAAGCACTAGATATATGCCTAAACAATTAGAAAAATGGAAAAAAAGTTACCATATAGGTAAAAGCTTACCTGTGACTCCGCCGTTCACTCCTGTCCGAAGACCTGAAGAATTTGTGAAGGATCATGGAGCGGGCGCATGCGCAGTAGAGATCTTCGGCCAGGAGAAGGGGAGTTACACAAGGTAAGTCAATGCACGCAGCTGGCAGTGTGTACGTGCAAAGACATTGTGGGACCCGAGGAGTCTGCGCTGGATCAGAGACCAGCACCAGCGCTGGAGGGACACCTGAAAACTACTGGAAAGAAGAAGATAGGATCAAGAGGCATCATTTAAGGTAAGTCCTTAAAGCAGCAATGGGGGGAGGGGGATGTGACTTTAATGTTACTTTACATGTAAGCGGTAAGATAATGGTCCCCTTGTTAGTTACTAGTTGTGGTGTAATACTTGGTGTGATTATTTTTTTTACTGAAATTGTTTCTGCTCTTTTTAAATTGTGATCACACTAGCACACTTAACTTGTGCCCAAACATGCTGCACCAAAACTATTGCATCCATAACTAATCTACTACTCAAAGGTTTTAACATGTTATGAAAAACATATCAACTTGGAGGTGCAGGATAGAAAATCAATTTGCTTTAAAAAGTCATTCTTACTGCACTCTTGAATTTTGAGATGGCAATGCCCTGCCATAGCCTTGATGCAAGCTTGTGATGTGCTGTTCACTTCAGAGCAGAAGCGTTGATAAAAGCCACACAGCCGGCTTACTGCCCAACTCCTTTCCACTGCATCAGATTCACTTTCCACAGTCAGGAGATCTTTACAGGTTGGCTCCATGTCTGATGCTCTGTCTTTTTCTGGAAGAGGCCGGAGCAAGTGTTGTTCAAACATTAAATAAAGAGATTGTACTTCATATCAATCTGCAATTATATCTTTGAAAGAAGAACTCTGGACAAACTCTTTCTTAACCGTTGCAAAAATAACAAAGTTACACTCACCTGATCCTCATAGCTGGTTTGCTGTTAGACCGGTCCCTGAAGCCTCTCTCCCCCTACGCTCCAGTGCTCTGAGGATTCTTGAGTCATCATTTCCAATACACTGTGTATTGGACGTGAGGACACTGAGGGACATACCATCGCTGGAGTGGAGGAGAAGAAAGGCTTCAGGGAGCGCTGTGACAGCTGGCCGGATCCGAGGTCCAGGTGAGTGTAACTTTTTTATTTTTGCACCTAGACAAAAATGAGCACTTAACCCTTGCAGTGTGTGAGTAACCCCACTGCAAGGGTTAACAAAACTTTGCCTTCAGTTCTTCTTTAAAGAAAACCTTTCCTAAGATAAACATGCCATCTCCTCTTGTAAATGCTAGCTGCCTGGCTGTCGTGCTGACTCTCTTGTATTAGTACATTCAGTCAATAACTCAGAACAAGACTTTCCTGACCTGCATACTTGTTCTGGGTTAGTGACTCAGAAAGTATTGAGGCCAGAGAGCCAGCATAATAGCCAGAAACTAGCTTTTTAAAAGGAGGGCAGCATGCAATGGTGCATGGTGATGGTATAATAACATATATACATGTGATTAGAATACAAAAATTCTAGTCTATAAATAACTGTTATAAAGACCAGTGATACGGGGGTGTGTACTTGTAAAGGAAAAAATGGTAACTGCAGAAATTCTTGAAGTTACATAATAAAACAGCAGCATTCATGTTGAGATTCAATGGTTAATGTTTTTTGGCTACATTCGGTAAAATGAAAGTTAAAATATAGGATTTGTGCTCCTTGCAGATACAGTCAGGCTGATGGAACCATTCAGCGCAAACAGACACTATAAGGTGACTGGGGGAACAAAGAGCTGACCATTAATAAATAACTGAAGTAAACTAAGAGGGTTATTCACTTAGGAGCCGACAGATCTAGCCGTAGCTTCGGCTGATCCTTTGGCTCACTTCGGCTGCCGAAGCCCTTTGGTTCAGTCGAACCAAAGGGCTGCTGTACGGGCTAATCACAATAGCCCGTACAGCAGCCGAAGGCAGCCTCTGTATGGCTGATTTTAGCCCATGTATGGCTGAAATCAGCCATACAGAACCAAAGTGCCTTCGACAGCTTAGTGAATAACCCTCTAAGTTTTCAGTGTGACACTCATATTTTACTACTTTCTACTACTACTACTTTCCCTAAAAAGGTCACATTTGTAAAATACTCTTTGGTTTGTTTGCAAATATATCCTTTTTTTTTCAAATAGTATTGTTGTTGATATGCACACATTATTATAACATGCATAGAAAGTTTGAGTTAATAAGGATTTCGCACTGCTTAGTTCAAATCTCCTGACGTCAGCACAATACTGCAGTACAGATTACAGAGACAGCTTTGTATTTTATACACATATCAGAACCAAGCCAACCAAGCACTCACTAAGATGAGAAGGGAGAAATATAATTTACTACATAAATACATACGCATACTCTACATACATACACAAACAAACCGGAGAGTCTTTTATGCAGTTAGGGCTTGTTCAGACCATGTGCGTTAAACTGCATTTTTCTGCTCACTACCGCACATATATGGTATGAACAAGGGACATAGATAACAGTTGTTTATTGTGTCCTCTTCACACAATAAATGTGTGATGGTGTGTAGAAAAACACGCTCAATGGACATACCTAACTCTTACAGTTACACTTTAATATTTAAAAATGTTCATCATTTTGCTTGTGATTGCATTGCTTTTGTTATCTAGTAACTATATATAGATATAGAATATAAAGAGAGAGAATAATAATAATAATAATAATAATAATAAACAAAGCATTTGGGTCTATGTCTTGGTAGGTCTATATTCTTACAGTTTAAAAAGTCACTGAGAACATTCTATTTGAGCAGGTTTTAAATGAGAACATTCAGATGATATTACTAATACTAACCTCTACATTGTACACTGAGACTAGTACATTCAGGAAAGAGGCAGAGAACGCATCCTCTACATTCCAGCTGACGACGATTGTGCTCTTTAACAGCCCCCTCCAGAGCCTGCAGAGCTGTTTTTAGTGCCACTTCCAGAATTAAAGTTCCCTTGTTAGACAGAGCTGTCAAAAAACAGACATTTAGTTACACACCAAACATTTACTACATAGCAAATAACTAAGTTTGCTGTATATGGCCAAAATCCCATTGTGACATACCACTGCAATAACCCGATCTGGCTTTATAAAAACATCAATCTATAAGCTTGGAAATTTTTTACCAGGAGACAAAGCAAACAGATTTCAATTTCTATTCCACCTTACAAGAGAATATAAGCTTTGCACAATGTTCTCCATCAATGAAAACAGAATGGTTGGCATTATCAGTACCATTCATTGGCTAACAAATGGAATTGGTTAAATTCAAAACTTTCCAATCTCACAATACTGTACAAAACCTCAGCTTGGATGAAGCATAGTATCTAATAAATGGCGGATGCTCTTTCGAAGAAACATGAAAGAGGAATAGCTAGACAAAGCCTTGGAATTCCCCAGCTTGCGTTCTACCCTACAATGAGCCAACTACTGCACCTGCTCTGCAGGACTCACCTTGCAGGACACTGACTGGTAATCTGTATTGCTCCTTACTTATTGGAGCGCAGTCAATCTGCTGTAGAGCCAGGAATGACATCACGGACACAGTCCACCACAGGAGCTGCATTGTATACTTCCCAAATTGTTTCACCGAGGATGGGAGCTAAATGTATCTTGTTATTCTTCTGTGATAACAGGCTTCAGATTATTGGGCTGTTTTTCTGAAAAGTACCTATGGCTGTGGCCCTCTCCTAACCATCAACTTGTCTTTGACTCAAGTCTATTATTGTCTCCTATATAGTCTTTGCTCCTGCTATTGACTCAGTCTCACTGTCTATCTGCAGGCACTGTTCTGTTTATGTGTTTTCACTCTCTCCTCTGCCTTTGTCTCAGTGCAGCCTCTTCTGAAGTTGACAGTTCGACAATACACAGCATGGTTAGTTGCTCTGTATATGTCCAGGACCACAGGAGGGGGTTGTGGGGAGGAAAGGACAGTTCCCAAGCGTTCTGATAAACTGCTTGATTCATTAATGCTTTGACACAGATGCCAGGACAGGAGGAGGCGGTGGGAGGGAGTCTGCAGACTGGATGGGGTGAGAAAAGAAGGGTTTGTGTTCATTAGCACCAGGGTTGATCTTAAGCCTTGCTACATCATCTCCCGTTATGAACAATTGTTTAGACTGGACTGTAAATGCGCTCACCCATGTAACACTTCATCTAGAATAACCGCAGGGTGCTGCTTTGATGGATGCCTAGGCTAGGCAATAACTCCAAATCTTCTGCAACACAATTCACGCAACTTTTTAAAAACAACACGCACGTTTTTAAAAACATTTATTCAAACACTACTATATTCAAAGGCTATCCCATCTATTAATGAATATGTAAGATGTAATTTAAAACAAATATAATGGCTATGCTTCCTTTAAGTGAAACATAAGCCACTTGGATAGACTGGGAAAGTGTTAGAGCCTCTTTAGGTTTTATTGATGTGAATAGGTTGAAAACGTTTCCCTAATTTTCTGTACTGGTGACACCTGACAGAGATTCTAACCTATCCTTAATTGGCCGAAAAGCTAAGTAGACCCAGATCTTTAGACCATGTTTCATCATGAGAGATGGTCACATCTCATTCCACAGCCCCCCTCTACTTATCCCCTCACTTACCTGAAATGGGGGGTTCTTCTCCCTATTGTCTTTGGTTTACATTAAAATATTGGCACGGCTGTGCCAAATGAAAAGATCACAAATCCCATCTGCAACTGCAGCAGAAGGACTCTCAGATCTCAATCTAACACAAGTGCAGTGACATAAATGATTACTTCCCCCAGCCCCATAACCAAAGGGTGGCTACTTTTGTTCCCCATGTTCTGTGTGTGTGTTGTAAAGTAGCTACCACTCCAAGCTCCCTCCCATGATGGACTACAATCTCATGTTTAGTTTACAAATATTTATTGAGATTGTAGTCCATCAAGGGAGTAAGCTTGGACAGGGACCATGGGGAACAACAGTAGCCACCCTCCAGAATAAAGGACAGTGTTAGCATAAATCCAAACATGATTTGAGGGTCTACAGCTGAGTGATACACAAATAAGCTACATTTTTGTTAATAGGTAAGGTACTTGAATGCATTTTTAGGTTTAACTCCTGAGTTTGAGGTCACTTTAAAACCCAATCACAAACCAGATCTTCAGTCAGATTGGCACTGTTTAAGATTTAACTCCTGAGTTTGAGGTCACTATTTTGGTATTCACAACCATGGGTGTCAGCTGTCTGAATCCAATAGCTGACAGGGAAGACTCTTCCATCCTTGCAGTTTAGCATGGAAGGGGGGAATCAACTGATTTATTTCACTTCCCAGCTATCTAATCTAAGCATGTATGGCTAACATAGGACTCCACTGCATAAGGCGGGTAGAGCTGGAGTTTTTTAGGCAAAGTCTTTCCACTGGTGTACTAGGGAGATTTACCAGGCAACTGGTTAATTCAAAATCCACTCTTAAATAAAACGTCACTTTTGGAAAGACTGATTTTTATTAGCAACTTAAAATACTATAAAATACATAAATGAGTCATACATGTTTTTTTTTAATCCACTCATTAGTTTCAGTGAAAATAGTTAATTTGTGGGAAAACAGAGGTTAATTATGGATATGGTATGATCCTGGGGAGAACCTGGCTGTCAATAGCTGGGTTTGTGAAAGGGAAGAGGAAGAGAAACAAGGAAAATCGGGAAGGGGGTCATGAGTGTTCAGCGTTGTCTGAATAAGAGCATTGTAGTCGGCAACAGAGCGAGCGGCTGTATCAAAGCTGTGCCCTACTGATCAGAGAAGAGCCGCTGCTCTTGATCATTTTCACGCTTTCATCCTCGCCAACGAAATGTTGTCGGTTCAGATCCCTTTGGTACACAAGCCGGAGCTTCTAAAACAAAAATAAAAACAGATAGATGGAGATGTATGGATGATAAAAATTAAGGACAGGAACAGAAGAACGTCAGGGGGAAAACTGCTCCCTGGCAGGGCATGAAAGGAGATGTTAACACAATGCAACTCTTGAGATAAACGTAACACAAAAATATCTCACAGTTGTTCACATCAATCAAGAATTATCCATTAATAAGCAGCATGCCATGTTTCAAGCTCCATTATAGGAGCAAGCACATATTTCATGTTATTTCATCGTAATTCATTTCTTATGAAACCCCTTAAAGTGTATGTAAACCCAATCACTAAAATATTATATAAGCTTTAACATATCATTATACAAGTTATTTTTATAATTTTAAAACTGCAACTTTAATGAAAGGAACAACTGGTGATATTGCCATGAAGGTCCTTTTTCAGTCACTTTCTGCAATAGGGTAACAATACTCTGTCCCTGACTCCCAATTATGATCCCGTGTTGTTACTCTGGCACATGGGATTATGATGAAGACTACAACTGGCTGTTTCAACACTCGTTACACAGGCATAGTTCAATGTTGTCACCATCAGGACATCCACCATACAGTCATGGTTGAAGTGCATGTAGACAGGACATGGCTGCAAAAAGGCTCCAAAAGATCAGCAGCACTGAGATGCACCAAAGAATGAAAAAAAAATTTAAAATAAGTGTTAAAAAAAAGAAAAAAGAATGTCTAATTTATGTTATTTTATGTTCCTCTTTTAGTTACTTTTTGCAGAGCTTTCTTTTCCTTACATTTTAGCAGTCTTGATACTGCTGTATAAAAGGTATCGCTTGTTGTCTAAAAATAAATGTGGTCTTTTGACATTTTTGTCACTAAATATAGATGGCAATGAAGATTTGTATTAAGTGCAAAGCTAGAAAGCTAGCTTGAAGTAAACTAAATGTCAATGCACTTGCTGGAATGAAAAAGATCACGGTCTTGCTTAGTATTTGGGTGATGAAAGTACCAGAGTAATTGGTGGCTGGGATAGGGGTCGGCACCTATGAAAATTATTCGTTGGTACCGAGGCTGCACCATCCACCTGACACAAGGTCATCAGATAGTCTGCAAAGTTTGGAGGGACTTTATCTCCTAGCTGGTCTGGGAACACTTCCAGTAAATAATTGATTCTCTGGCCAGATAAAGAGAAATCTGGTCGGGCCCCATGATCTCGACTTGAGCCAACCGAAGGATAATAGGATAATATTGGATTTCTGTCAGTGAATGATTAAACAAACAATATGCAAAAGCCTCCCACAATTTGTTATATCCTTTGCGCACACTTTCTTTGCTGTCAGTGCCTTTGCAGAAAATCCCTATAGACATCAATGGGGCTGTGTCTCAATGTTGGAGAAACACAGGAGGCCGCCTGATAGAAATAGTTCATGGGATACTGGTAAGTATTCTTCTGGGGATGAAGTGTCCTTTGCGCACATTTTCTTTGCTGTTAGTGCCTTTGCAGAAAATCCCTATAGACATCAATGGGGCTGTGTCTCAATGTTGGAGAAGCTCAGGAGGCCGCCTGATAGAAATAGTTCACGGGATTCTGGTAAGTAAGGGCCTGGTAATGAAGGAGGACACTTTTGATTGTGTCCAGGGCAAAGCCAATAAGTGCACTTTGTTTGAAAGCGCATTTATGCTTTAATATGAAATCTAGTAGATATTATTCTTCTCTTTCTACATAGTGTTCTGTAATGACCTCCCTACTATAGAGTGCATTTTGTATATAACGTATAAGTGATGAAGAGTAAAATGATAATGATATTAGTTATGCAGGTTTACAGTCTAAAACATTAATGAAATAATAATGATATGACTGAGTGTAGCAGAGACACACAGTTGTGCATGTGTATATACAAATTCACATGCTGCCACAATCAAGAAAATGACCCTGGGGAGTATGCCAGGCCCATATCCCAGCACTGTAAGAGGGCAACATCAAACTGCGATGGAGAGAAAGGTCTGGACATCTGACTGAAGGCTGTAAGAGAGGAAGGAGGGGGTAGGGGGAGAGACAGCGGGGATAGCGTCCTCCATTTACATAGTGCTACATTGACAAGCAGTGTCATAACCTTCCAAAAGCACTTGTTGCGCACACGTACACTTGTTAATGTCTTAAAACTATAACTCAATATCCCCACTATGAGGTTGAAGTTAGTAATACATTGCATTTGCTAATACCATGAAATATTAAACATATCAGTTTTGATAATGTTGCTTAAAGTGTAATCTAGTTAAGAGATTACATTTAGACCTTTAGACATTTCAATCAACATGTGTGTAATGTGCCTTTCAAGCAAAGCAACAATGTTGAAAAATTCCTTTTTTATTTCTAATGCTGGCTATATACTGTTAATTTCAGCTCATTGACAGGAATCAGATGAAATTCTTAAAGTGGATGGCCCTACAAGCTTGACAAACGTTGATACCTAAATTGACTTTTGTCAGAGGAGTCAGGCCGATTTTTTTCAGCCCAACAGTGACTGCATTCAATCAACTGCAGCAGCTTTTCATACAATACAATACAATAGCTACAGCGGGAGATTTATCTATCTGCACTGTTTAGTGTGGCTGCAGCAACTTTATAGATTTTTTTTTGTTCTGCCCCCAAAAATCTATTAGCCCTTGTTCACATTTCTGCGATGCATGAGCATGGGCAT